TTGAAAACAAGACATACGAGTCTTCTAGGAAATGAACACCTGAAAATATTGTGTTATAATTTCAATACGAAAAATGTATGGATCATGCACCATGTTGGTGTCCTCCAGAAATCAATATTTAAATAATTCTAGTAATGCGAAAGCTTACCGTTTAGAACAAATATCATCGCACTGTTAGGCACACAACAAGGTCTAAAACTCATGTTTTAATAAATTATTGGTCGCGGAAAGCAAAAAACTTGTGCATGAAACAACGCTTTTCTCTGATAACGAAAATGACGCCTCGCGAAAAATGCAAATCAAATCAGCATCTTTGAAATCAGCTGTAAACCCACGCTGTAAACGTCGCTGTGGCGCCCCCTCGGGCATCTTCCGTTCATTTATGAGTAAGTTGACTCGTAAGCAAGGCCTAGGTGGCGCTAACGACAAGCAAAATCTTGGTCTGACCTTGACTATTTGAGTGAGACCCCCATGATCACAATGAATTCTTGACAGTTGATAGAAGTGCAGGTGTGAAGGTGAGAAGTGTAGTCGCCAAGGTGAGATATTAAAATATGTATTAGTGAAATTTGCGTTCAAAAGCTAGTGACCGAACGAGGTGAGTTAACTTCATTATTGTGCCATTCGAAAGCGGAGAGATCGAGCGTTAGGCTGGATAGATTCGATAACGAGGGGCCACATATGACGAAGTTCAGCTACTCTTTGTTTTCGTCCCTCTAACTTCGGAGTCGTCCATTTTGTGAAAGCAAAATCTGTGTCGCACCTGATCTGACATTCGTCGTTTTTAAACGCAAAATTCATGATCCTTGCTCGAGGGAATCGTCATCTGCGACAGAATATACGATTGTTGCAAGATAATAATAAGAACTTTGGCTACCAAAGTCGGTTGCTTCGTCCCGATATTTATCGCAATGGCAATGACGAAGAGAACAGTCGTCGACGGCAAAATTGTTTGTCATCATAATAAAGCCGATAAGGCCCAGAGAAGCCCGAATTCTGGATGTTCCCCCAGTCGCAGCAAACTGGGTGTGTTTCCCCCCAAGCCATCATCAATTAAGGGGTCGCCGCCTCGATCTCCGATTCCGGAATCGAGCCCCAGATCATCCCCGGGGTTGGTGGCCGGATATTATGCTGGCTGTAAATTTACGGAGCCACCTTCAGCTTCTGCTTTGCCCCTTCCTCCCCAGCACTGGATGGGTTCTGGTCAATCTGTGATTCTACAAATTCGGGCCATTAGTAATCACACTCACACATCAATGAAACATCTCGACTTTACTCAACAGCTTAAGCTGCTGCTCAAAGTGCACGCCTGATTTGGGGGTTGTTTACTTGAAACAAAAAAAAAACAAAGAGACAAAGAAAAAAGACATTTATCTTTATAAAATATATATTTTTATGAGTGCATAGAATGAGCGGATGTCACTAATAGTAGTTATATGTTGGTAGCGAGTGAACACGACAATATGTAATTTGATAGTTTTAGGTTTTGGCCTCAATGTAATTGCCAGAATACTTTGAGTAATCCACAAAGTTGAGTCTGCTGATTTGTCCTGTTCAGCCGCCCTGTGATATGCAATCACAATTACGAATCTGTGATTGCTCTATAGTTTTTAGGAATCTAGCTCATAGGTTTAATCTAAACTGTTTCTAAATGTGATTTTTTTGTTTCACTGTTAATCAAACGTAAGAGTATAAAATTTTAAGTTCAAGATGAGAGCAGTGCTCAGATATGAGTGTGATATGACTTATATATAGTTGATTAACAAAGTAGCATTTGAATGGCCTTTCGTGCATACCTGGTTACCACCAAGTCATTTCATGCTATCTCTTGCTTAAGGGCATGTACTGATTTTTGAGCTAACATGAAAACCAGTTGGTGGTAACCGATTTTTAAGCTTTAACTAGTGATTAGCAGAGTAGACATTTCATCAATTTAACCGCGTTTACTTCAATTTCAATTGTTTACAGTGTAAAAACCTCTTCAATGCTATTTTGTTACGCTCGAATAAAATATCTAAAATTCGTCAATTATGACGCATATTTTTATTAAAAGATAGTACAAATGAGAATCACTTAACAAGTCATGGTAGTATCACGTGAGTTTTATAAACATTTAATAACTTTATCATTTCACTTGAGGTGTGTACTTACCTCATAAACAATAACCATAATTGCTCGCCAAATTTACATACAACTTATTAAATGTTTATCAGAACTTTTATTCCATCAAATTATTAATTGGCTTTTGACTTAATGTTCTTGAGGGAGTTTCTTAACTTAACACGATACCCAATATTGTGGGAAGTGCAATAACAATAGTTTACTCCAAATATGTAAAATATAATTTATTATTGTTAGAAATTCTAATTTATGTTGGTTAGTTGCAATAGTTTTTTTTTCATTTATTTGGTATACGTTTTTACAAAATTCAAACAAATTCTTAGTTTTTATTTTTATGGGGAATTAGAATTGCTAATGATTCAAATTTTATTGAAAATTTTTCGAAAATCTTGATCTCATGTTTACTCGGAATTGTATCAATTGTTCAAAAATCTTGATCTCATGTTTACTCGGAATTGTATCAATTGTTCAAAATTTTGAAATGTTTGTCACCTCATCTCCATCCCTTATCTGTGATACTTACTCTCCTTTAATATCTTTTACAACCCTCTCTCGTATTAATGCAATCGTAATCACTTGCAATTTATAATGATTCATAATATTGATTAAAAGGAGTAAAAAAAACGTTACTACGTTTCCATATTTTCTAGTTCGAACCCAAAAGGCTACTGATTTTTAAAAAGATTCATACTTTTTATAGTTGAGAGTATTCTCGAAAATGCCGTTGGATTTTCAAAAATACTTGCTACTATCCACAGGAGGTCAAGTGATTGACATTCTCAGAAATGCTGCAAATAACTAATCTTTAAAATTTCTATTTTGTAAATTATCATAAACACATGAATTGATCATGTATCTGAATCTAAAATGCTTTATTAGTTGTCTGTGATATGATTCTAATCAATATTTCCTATTCCTACTTCCCCCTCATCCTTTCCTTTCTGAGGCTTCGGCCTCACCCAAATGTATAAGAAAGAAATTCGAAACTTTTGGCTCGTAGCTAAGGTTCAAACCTAAATAATTTGGTAAGTACGTCTAGCAGGTTCATTTGAACAGTGGATCCCTTTAAGGATATTCTGTTAATTAAGTGAAATAATAAGTTATTATTTATTTAGTAGGTACTGTGGGCAAGTCGCACACTTTCGACTGGTCAAAACTACAAGATATTCCAAAAACTTCAAGAAAAGGATGTTGACTGAAAGTAAAAATCAAGGGTTAGCTGTGAAATATACAAAAAATGAATCGACTAACTGTTCTCAACATTGGTTAATTGGTAAGTTGCAGTAACCAAAAATAGTTTTTTTTTATTATCAATTATTTTTTGTCTGCCTTTTTTTGTCATTTGCTTTCTCTTATTATCAAGCCTGAAAAAAACAGTAATTATGTTGCTTTGGTTTGTTGTTGGTTTTAGTTCGATATCGTTTTAAATCCTGAATAATTATTATCCACAAAAATTAACCTGCAAAAATCATGCTAATACTTCTATTTAAGCTTGTCCTCTTAAAAACGTTCATCAGAAATGCTGCGTTTACAAGTTTTGCCGAATATTTTAGAAACTTTGGCAAATATCCAGGAATAAACTGTCCAAAGATACAGGGTGTTTCTCTGGGAGGTTTTAAGGAGGAACTTTTATATCAATATTTGTAGGTCCGGAAAAGATTCGTTTTAAGAATGTTAATTAACACAGTTATGCAATCGTTTTCTGTTTATTTCTTTAATCGTAATCAGTTTTAATATATGCGAAAATTAATTAGTAGATAAATGCCTCTCGTGTATTCTTAATTGCTGTGTGAGATGGAAGCTTTAATTATTCATCGTGTTGTACAGGTGATATGTCGAAATAAGTAATTAAATTTTTTTTGTGAAGATAAAGTGGTGACCAAAATGTTTTGGATGTTGCTTAATTCACAGAAAGGAGAAATATTTAAAACAAATTGGTGGCGTATATTTGTTTTGCAAAAATATTGGTCAGGTTGTGGGAGACGGCATTGGGCCGAATAATTTTTGGTTTATTTATGGATGAATTGGTCATTTCCTGCATACCACAGCCAACTTTCCATAAAATCGACAAAAAATTAGAAATTAATTACGAAAAACCGTTTTTTTTTATTTCAACTGAATATTGTAAAATTAGCCAGAACTTCGCGTATACAGGGGTATACGCAAAGGTCGCACCGTTATGCTCTTCTATACTTATATCACTTCGTCCCAATTTACTAGAATCGTCCTAAAGTATTTGGAATTTTTAACGGGTAGCCAACATACTTCTTTTTTAAAGGCGTCAACCATTTTGATTTAATCATGCCTGTAACCAAGCCATTCCTGCAGGAGTCGTCCAATTGAATCGCACTATAAATTTCTTCATAATAAACAAGGGTAAAAAATTAGCTGAGCTTAATAACAAATGGTTCGATGACTTTCCAGAGTTACTTCCACTGAATCACTATTAATATTCACTAAAGGATAGTACGAAATGCCCAGAGAAAAGAAAATACAGAGTTCTCCGCACAAATCACACGTACGTGTGATCTGTGGTTGCCCGTTCCACTCATACAACTAAACGAATGGTCAGTTAATCGTCAGATATGACGTCCAAAAGACGTCCGAATGTTTCGCCTTTTGGACGTCCGAAATATGACGTCGTTATATCGTCAGCTATTCGTCCAATGACGTCCCAGACCAAAAATTTCCAATAAATGACGCCATACTAACGTAATATACGTCATTGCTGCTACCTGGGTTTACACCCAGACCAGTTTGACCTGAAACTGTCAATTATTCAATGACCGAAATTTGCATCTAAAACTTATTTTCTTTCTTTTCTTAGTGCGTCATTTAAATGACTTATAATCTAAAAAGCTGTGAGCAAGTAGATTACTTTGAAAAACTTTCTATACATGAAACACCTAACTCTTCTAATTAAATAAAGTTAAGGAGTTAGAGAAAACACATCAAAAGCGGAACGGAAATGAAAGAAAATGAAATGAAATTATAAAAAATCTAAGCAATTATTCTCCCTGCAGCTAAAATATTACCTCTTACAAAAAACAGGCTGCTTTTTACTGATTTAAAATTTTTCCTTGACTGGTTAGAAAAAAATAGAGACAATCAAAGATATTTTGGTTCACATCGAAAATCTGCTTTATGAATTAATAATATTAATTAACATTTATTTAACGCGATATCTGGACAGTATGTCTCCCAAAGTTGGAAGCATATGGAAAATTTTAATTACTGATTTAAGGAAAAACGTTACTCTTCATTGCATTTTCAAACGTTGCAAATTCTAACTTTTATACGTAAATAGCAATTTTCTATATTAGTAAAAATGGAGGTACTTTATTCTGACAAACTTTGTATACGCCTGTAAGAATAAAATATTTGATAGTTGGATTGCAAGTTTTAGACCATGCAGAACTTTTTGTGAAGAGTAACTTTTCTTAAAATTAGCAGAAAATTTGTCCATATCGGTCCAACTTATGATACACAGTACAAATAATTTGCTCACTTGCACGAAATATTGGAAAAATATCGATGTATATCTATATTTATATCACTTAATAGCTTTTATAATTATTGAGTAAAGCGTTTAGCCTTCCATAAATGTGTGGCTAAGTGAGCATTCCATGCATATGTCGATTATATATTTACATAACAAACAGTGATAAATTGAAATAATGATGTACGTTATGCGATAATAGAATTTTAAACAGTCTTATCCGCTTGGTCACGTAATAGCATCGAAAACAAACGGAAAACATTTGCTTCTATCGTCAAGCGGCGATTAAACCTGTTATTGTAAACAAGGAATTATTTTTATCCATCTAAATATTGCGTCGCATTTTATTTCAAATTACAACAATACATACGTTTTCCGGTTATTTATAGAGCCATATTTATTTGTGAACTCACATGGAGGTGGGTAGATGAGAAAGTAAAAGTACTAACCGACTGGTGCAGCCGAGGTAAAATAAGTTGACGAAGTTATTTTTATAAAAGTTAGATGCGTACTTGGAAATATAATTTAATGCAGGTTTCATAACACTTATAGATATGGGTTTACTTTCTCTCCATGCATATGACTATGAGTTAGTAATGAATAGGCATCTTCTGCTAAAAAAGTACATATTCGTTATTCTATATTGTGATTACTAAAGAAAGCTGGTCAAAGGCTTGTCGAATCCATCCAAATGCGGACCGAACTAGCGAAAACGAGTTGCCCTCATTTCTTTTTCTGGTTCAAATCAAAGAGAAAACGGATGAAAGTATTACTTCCATCTGAAAGGCCATTTTCCTGACTATTTCGGAATACCGTCTCTTGCACGCGTCTCCTGATGAAGGTTGGCCATCTTTCTGGCAATTTCACAATCTTAGTTTTCGGCTTTAAAAATGTCGGTGGTACCGCTGAATCATCTTCTGAAGTCCTTCAGCCAGGAACTTTGTCTTCTACCATCTTCTGTCCCCGTATTTTACCCCCAATTGATAATAGCAGCTCTATATTGCTCTATAGTGTGCCCATTTATTCTTAATTGGGCAATTATACTCGTTTCCGCAAATACAAGCAGCAGTATTCTTCGTTATCTGCAAGAACTGCAGTACCATCGGCGTATCTTATATTGATTATTACACATTCACCTTAATGTCTTCTGGTATTTCCTCGGAAAAGCCAGAAAAGCCTCGGAGAAAATATTGAACAGCAACGGAGACAAGGTGCAGCCCTGCCTAACCCCTTTTCTAATCAGTGCAGCTTCAGATGTTTGATTCTAAATTTTAACTGCTACAGTCTGATTCAAATATAGCTTTGAGACAATGTTGATTGTCTTTTAGCAACTAGGTTTAATGAACATTTTCCAACCTCTAAAGAGATAGAAGCCAAAATGAGACAGCGTTAAAAGTTTCAAGCGATTAGATATTGGAGCTTCATGGCGTTTTCAGAGCACTGTTTCACTATGGGAGTGGAAAGTAAATGTACAACCTGTAAAGACTTCAATACATGTTAAAAATATTGACTTTTTCGATATAGCATCTCAAGAACTGTCACTTGATCATTATTCTTTTATCTTGATCACTTCTATCCGACATTTCTAACCTCTAAGAAGATAGAAGTCAACTTTTGCAAGAACCTCGTATTTACAGCTTATTAAGGCCCAGGTTATTTTTGGTAGAACGTTCTTTTCCATTATAAGGGAATAGGTTTATCAGATATTTCTAAGTGTTAAAGAGCAAATTTACATATGAAGGACAATTTCGGAAGTATGGCAACATGTTTAATCATTCATTCATTTCCATGTTTTACAAGCATGAGATAAGGTATTTTGATTAACAATGTTAAGTGGGGCAATCGCGACGTTGCCAAGAGCTTCCAAGAATCCTTAAAATATTTGAATTTTGAACAAATCATCTAATTTCTGAACTATTTAGAGTTCTGATTATAAAACAATTCGCCGCCGTACCTAAGGGTAGAGTTAGTCGGCTTTCATTACCAAGTCATGCTCTCAGTGTGGCGCAAAATCCTTCAATTAATTAATTTTCGCAAATTTTAATATATGTATATAATGGTGGGAATTAAGTTAGTAATAGTATGAAAGTTAAGAGGGTTAGTTTGGATCATGAGATCATCATCGACATAAAATTACACAATGAAATACTGCCCCTATTTAAAAATATCACAGAAGAACAGAAAATACCAAACAAATGGAGAACAGTAAAACAATACCCATTTTTAAAAACGGACAGAAAGAACTTCCAGAAAGCAGATATTTTTTTCTTAAACGTTCACACCAGTCCTGGCTGATTGCGCTTGCGCGTCTCACTGCCATGTTGCCGCTATGCACATACTTGGTTTTTAACCGCCTGGCCTGACATTAGAAAAAGTCGTTTATTTTTTTTTAGTTTTGTTTGTGTGTGTGTTTAAGATGCAATCTTATAGGAGAAAAAATTGTTATTCTGCATATTTTTCTGATTTTTCACAGACATGTATATAATTAAAGTGAAGGTCATAGACAACATTTAAATATATTTGTTCATTAATTTAGAAAGCACAAAACAAATAAAAACAAACAAGATCCATTACTATTAAAACTCCAAAAATCCAAATCTTCACCGCGGGAACTAATTGTATAAATCACTAACAATAAAATTAGCATGAATGTCAGCAACAGTCACTGAACTAAAAACGTGCTAGAAACTACAAGAAACCGTGTTTTTCTGAGGTTATAATTTCGTTTGCAGTAGAAGTATCAAACCGGCAACACAGCGGCAAGACGTCGGTTAAGAAAAAAATATCTGCTTCCAGAAAACTATCGTGGAATAATTACCAAAACCATTAGAATAAGAGACGAACAACAAGGCTTCCGAAAAAAACAGATCCACAATAGATGGATGCAAATGTCTGAAAATTCCTGAGAGTTCAATAAACTAGGCCTGGGTAACTCAGTGAATTTTTATGAGTTGGCGCAGTGGTACGCAAACGGTTTGGTGCGCCAACCCATCGCACTGGCGCAGTGACTCAGTTCCGTCCCTGGGAAAATGTTGCTGACTTTTTTTTATTGTTTTCATATTTATTTTAAGGCGATTTATTAATAATGTTTTTAAAATGTATTCAAAATTTCAGAAAGTTCCAGTTTTAGCCAAGTTACTCTTTCTTCTAAATTCTCAATTTTCTAAATTTTCACTTAAAAATGCTGACAATATTATTTTTATCGGTATTTTCCGCGAAAAATGATGAAATAAATTTCGAATCCTTCGTCGTGTAAAAAGTTTTGAAATCCCTTTCCAGTTTCGAACTTGGAACAAAAATCAAATAATTTTCTATTAAAAAACGAACATAATAAGTGAAAGTTTATAACAGATTACTTGGAAATCTCTGAAGACTGTAGTTTGTTAAAAAAATGTGGTTTTTCAGTTTTTACTGATTTCTTTTCTTTACTTTCTACTCAAAAACTCTCTATTTTGTAGTTTCACTTAAAAATACTGACCATCTGGAAAAATTGCAAGATAAATTTATAGCTTTGTAAAAATTTTACAAAACCTTTTTTCAGCCTCGAATTCGGGTGAGAGCAAAAGTTTAAAAAAAATGTTTGAAAAATTCGCCGCCCAGCGCTCATAGCTCTGAAGATTTTTAAAGTTTATTTAGATTTTCAGGTCATTCCAGTTTTACCAAAGTTTCTATTAAGTAATTCTTTCTACTCAAAAATCGAGTTATTTTTTCGTTTTACTTAAAATACTGACAATCTCCAGGTATTTTCTGTGAAAAAATATAAGATACATTTTATTGGAACACTCGCCTCCTTAGCCGCTTTGCAAACATTTTTGGAAAACTTTTTGCAGCTTCGAATTATGGACAAAACCCTAATAATTATTTCTGTGTTATTTTTCAAAAATATTTCCCCGAACTGAAAAGCAAAAGTTTATAATCATTTATTTGTAAAACTCTAGGAAACTGGAGTTTCTTCACTTTTAGGTCAATAATTTTAAACAATACTGTCTCTAAACAGAAAAACCGCGTTTTTCCTAACGTTTTACTGTAAAATACTGGCAAAGTGAATCTTTTATGCAAAAATTAACATATCGATTTTACAAGAAAACTCGTTAACTTTTTTTGGACTCAGTTCTGTTGCTGGGAAAATCTAGATTACTTTTTTTAGTTGTTTGAACAAAGTAGTAAAACGTTACTTACTAAAAAATGTTAATGACCTTTTTTTTAGATCTGAAAATTCCAGTCTTGGGTCTCGTAAAGCTTTAATAAATGACTTAGAACTCATGATCCGATGAGTTATAACTCGTTAACTCAGAGAGCGGCAACAACTCAACACAGTGTTACGCAGGTATGCGTCATTTAAGTTTCTGAATTTTTTATGCACATATAGGGAATATCAGAGAAAATGAGTGCGCAGCTAAGCATTACTTCAAGATTCAAAAGAAGTCCCACCTTCCATTAAGAGGACTTCAAAAACCGACTAAACCGCTAAAACTATGTATAAGGTATAGTAGTGGATTGAAATGAGTTTGTGGAAAACTGACCACTAAAAGTGAAGGAATTAAACAAGAGGTAAGTAGTTGATCAATCTGTATTTTGAATTAAAAAGTTCAATTTTGATTTCATTTTATGCTCGGTATGTATGATAGTTTTTACACGCTATGCGATATTGTCCTATAAGCTGGCACTCAAGTAGTCTTGGACGTTTACGGTTACGAGTCCTCCAAAGTTATTCAAGAGCAGGATTTGAGTTGGTTTAACTTTAGCGACATAAAATCCATGATCTGAAAAAAAAGGGTATTAAAACATACAGCAAACCCTAAAATGTTGGGCCTGGAGCGTGACTTACTAGCTGGCCAGTATTTCATGGGTGGGTGACGTTCAAAGAGTGCCTTCTTTGCAAACTCATGTTCCTCTGTTGATTTGTTCACCTGCAATTAAATAACTGTTTAGATATTAATCAAGTTTAAGAAAACCCAGTCTATACTCGTTTTCTATTTGTTTTAGTTCTTCGAACTACTCGAGTTATGAACAACAATATTTACTTCGGCATTGTGCTAGGATCGCAAAAAGGTGTATGTTTCAGGTACTCGATATGATTTTCGCACCAAAATAAGCTAGTAGAATATTTGCTTTTTCGATATAAACAGTTGTATTTTTTTCGGTTTTCAGGAAACTTCTGATACGCAATATTTATTTACTTCTACCTTTTCAACAGTTCCTGATAACATCACTTTAGCGCATCGAGGGTCCTGAGGATCATACGATTTTTCCTGGCAGTAGTTTGACTGAGCCAACGAAGCCAATATAGTTACTTTGTTGTTCGCCTGCAATAAAAATAGCTCTGATATTTACGTAGCATAGCCAAGTCAATTTATTTCAAGGGACAATTCGGCTTTTTTGTGGAAAGCAATTTTATGTTAATTAGAATAACTTAAATATTAATATAATTCAAATGTGAAGGAAGAGTCAAGTACAGCTCTCAGTTTTCTCTTATTAACTAGAAATGCTTAAGATAAAAGTGCTTTAGCTTTGTTTATTAACTTTTTACAAGAACTGCCTGCTTAAATTAATTAATTAAATTCGACGTTCGTATCAATCAAGTTTAATATGTATTTTATTAAAATATTGGGTTTGCCAACAGTCTTTACTCTGTTAAAAGTGATTTCAACATTTTACTCTCTATTTTCACTACTTTAATTTCAAATGAATGGATTACTCACTAGAATATCAATTGCGGTAATATCCATGTCGGTCATATATAAATAAGGGATTCCAGAGGAGTTGGAGGCTGGTCCATCACTGATTGATTTCAATGAAACAAAGGGATCTCCCTTCATATCTTCTCGTACAGAAAGAGTCCCGACTGCAACCCAGTCTGTAAATATTCAAAATAACCACATTTAACGTCTGCAAACATTCTTTAGAATCTCTTATTTTAATTTAAGAAAACTTTTGGGGTTTTTTTTGGGTTGTATAATACATATGTCTAATAATTGCTCGTCACATGTGAAAGTATTTTTTATTAATTTTTATTTGGGCTTTGGCTCTGGGTGAGAATTTATCACGTAATTATTTCTACTTAATACATTTTTACCACATTTAAAATCCTTTGTTTCGTCCGATAAACCATTTTGTCAAGGGAAAATGTCTTTCTTGAGAAGCAATTTTTATTCACGATGCCAATAAATTTTATTTTAAGGTAACGTTTTTTACGTAAGTTTTTGTTATGTTTATAACATTTTGGAATGTAAGTATACATATTAAATATTATTTTTATTTAAAATGATTATTATTAAATTAAATGGTACACATTATTGAGAGAAAGGAGGAGATGTTTAAATTGTCAACATTAAGGCATTAATTACTATTATTCGTGTGATTTATTGCATTCGAGTAAGAAATACCGTTTTTCGAACGTTCAAAAAACGACACTTGAGTTGAAAACTACTATCGGACAGAATTCTTTAGAAAATATGATATTTGCTGTATTATGTAAGTAATTGTCTTTAGAAAAACTTTTTCATCAAATTTCATTTCCTTGGAAGATTAACAAAGTTTTCAACAATTTGACCAAGCGAAAGACCAACCATGAAAAGTATTCTTGCAAATGAGTGAGTGTTTCGAGCTTATAGACCTCCCTGGAAAATACATTCTATTTGACGTTTCGCTAGCACGAGTGGCATGCATAATCAGTAATGTGTTTCGTGTTTTGTATACAACAGCCTAAAAGCTCGAGGAATTAATTTTTCAGCAAATTTCAGGCAAGCCACACGAAAGCGTATTTTTTTTGTTTTTGACTGATTTTTGCATCTGTCTTCTTTCTGGTTAAACTAACGAAGCAGAAGCACTTTTCGATACGCTGTACCGTAAAGAAAAATTCCTAGTAATTATGCACATGGTTGTAACGGCTTCCGAGATAAAAGCTTTTAAACACCGACAGATCTCTAAAATTTTACATTTTTTCCTCTACAGGAAGACTAAGCAATCAGAGATTCTACTTAGCTAATTTAGAATAAGGAATCAAAGTATGTGTTGGATGTCAGAAAATCGGAGAATTTTTCAACCCCAATGGGGAAAAATGGATCACGGCAGGGTTTTTTGCCGTTTCGAGATATAACATGCTTGAAACGTGTACGTTTACTTGTTTTTGCTTCCATCTCCAACGTCTTCGGAAAGGTTTATGCAAAAATGTATAACAACTGTTTAAATATTCTCTTTAGAGTTGAGAAATTTCCTTTGAAACATAATTGGTGACAAGCGTTATCGAAAAGCTTATTAGGCTTATCTGATATTATCAACTGTTTCATAAAAAAATTGAAATTTTACAAATCAATTGCTTGAAAAAGAGATTTTTCATAAGTAGAACAATGTATAATTTTTAGTTTATTCTGCCATATACAGGGCGTTTCTGGATATCATGTTTACTTTCTTTTTTGATTAATTTAAAGCAAAAAAGACCTTAGAGACCAAATATATAAAAATTAGAATATTTTACATCAATATATCAGCTTTTCATAGCTTCCAGTAAAACACAAGACTAAAGTTTTCGGTTTAGAAATATTTAAAAAAATACATATTGTATTTAAAATTCTAACAGTGCAACATGTTTTTGTCCAAATTAAATGTTCTCTTACCTGCATTATGAATGATGTATCTCGCTGTTTTAGCATGTTCAGCAATCGGTGGAAGCTCAGAAATCGCATTACGAAGCACTCTAGCTTCAACTGCGGGGTGCCAAAATATGGCAAATGTTAGGACCAAACTTGCCTAAAGCAGATTTATTTGAAACTCCCACTAGAAATATTAACTAGAATAGGCTCTGTCAGGTCAGCAAAGAGAATTTGGTATTTTTTACATGTTTTCTTATTATTTTTCTTTGATTTGACGAATGATTTTACGATTTTTTTTTAAATTTTAACGTAATTTCAGCGAAATAATAAGATGCAGATTTAAGTCGAATTTCTGGTGTTTGATTTTCTAAATTCAAAAAAATGTAAAACCAAATATGTTGTAATATGCACACGATCTTATGTCTTCTGAGCAATATGAATCTTCAATCTTCTGTTCACCCTGAGCCTTTCGAGAGATATTCACTTTTTATGACTGGACACATTTTCCCCGCACAATTTACTTATTTTTTTTTATTTCTTCTGTTTTCATGAAACAACATTTTATTACAAGTTAACTGCTGTGTTTATTTTATCACTCTCTCTCCTTCACGCCTAAGGATATTGTTTTTTTATATGGGGTTACATACGTAAAAAATGTAAAGAGGTTGGCAGCTCTAAGCTTGTAATAACATTTTGTGTGCACTGCCTTGTTCGGAACTAAAAAAAAGTTTAAATAAATTGCGTGCGGAAATTGTGACCCTTAAAAAAATGAATATGTCTCAGGTTAAACATACGTTATCGATCGTTTGATATTCTTAAGATCGAAATTACTCAGAAGATATGAGGCTATAACACCGTATACTTATTTATTTTCCTGTCTGAGCTAACAGCCTATAAGTAAACTACCCTGATGAATAACATTTTTTTTGGCTCATCTATCTTATAAACATTTTGCCCAAGAATAGAGCAGTGATTCGATAAAGAAATTGTTCAAATCGGATTAACGATTGAGAAAATATTGACCTCCTCACATCTCTATGAATTCACACATTAAAATAGGCGTTTTTTTATTTTAGAAAAGAGTCATTTAATTTTAATTCAAAACTTTAATTTAAATGAGCGATTTATTTTCCATTCGAAAAATTTTTCAAAGGAAGCCGCAAAAGAAGAGTATAACTAGCTGACACAAAGCGTTTGAGATAAGGGATATTTATGAAAATATTACTCCTTTCTCCAACCCCGGTGAAACAGGGCGAGAACAATGTTGCGGGTACATTTGTCATATTTTGAATATTATTTTACATAAATATATTAAAATCGTTTATCTGTAGGTATGCAAAATGAATAAAAATGTTAACAAGTAAAGTAAATTTGAAATTGATGGGCCTTATTTTTGTTCAGGAAATGTTTTTTACATCTTCGTTAATATGAAGCATAGGTTTTTTATGTAAAAAAGCTATACCTCACCCACTTCGATATTTGAAGCCGAGTAATTTACCATTAAGGATTGCATAACTTTAGTACAACAACTAAGCTCTTCTATCTTGGAGAGCTATTTTAGTTTGTATTTTTAAAAAGTCTTATTTCTTTACACATTTTTTTTAGATATTTTGTGAAAACAACATTTGCACAGTTTTGCTTTTTAGTAAGTATTATAAATTTCTAATTTTGGTCTTATTGCTTATGGGGCTTCCTGTATATGCATATATTGTCTAAACATTGTTAAGAATTGCAAATTTTTGTAACAACGTCTTATATAAATACAAATTTTTCCAAGCGCTTAGTCACATTTAATTAGGTGCATTTTTCCGTTTTTTCTGCCAAAAGTATATATATTTTTATCTCCAGGAAGGTTAAAAACTATAAATAGTAGTATCTTTTGTATTTAATTTTATATGAACATGTTTATTTAGCTGTACATATTTGTTTGTTTAGTCTAGTAGATTCTCTTGAATTTCAAAGAAAAATATGGTTTTTACGCTTGCAAGAACTCTGCTGCAAAAAATAAACGCGAAATAAATTATATAATCAATTGGCTTACCAGAGGGATCATCGTTGACTACTTCAATTGTTGGTACTGAGGTATCTACTAGTTACTGAATAACTATAGGATTCAGCAAATCGAATCGGCTTATAAATGAAATGTTGTTTTTGAAATGGAAATGGGATGAAGAAATTAATATTAAATTTAGATAATTAACACACTTGTTGACAGTGACCCTTGTGGAGATTTCGTGCCAGGTACGGAAATTCCAGCAAATTATAGTTTATTGGGGTTAGTTCTAATTATTCATGTTTGGCTTATGGATATCGTTTGAGGCCAGATAAGAGCAACGGGTTTTCCAATTTGCAGATATAACACTTGGAAACAATATACACTTATACATCTGATGAATTCACATTTTATTTCGGTTACGCCTCTTAAAGGCATTGGCCTTGCCATAATCATCATTTTTATTAAAGTATTTACAGACGAAATCGCATGTTGAAAGGGATATCGCATTCTTAGCAATTTGCAGAAAAAAAATATGAAAATTATAAAAGTTGTAGATAAATAAAGAACCGTTGGGTATTTGGATATGAGTAAATAACATGGTATTTGGACAGCTTTAAGGCGTAAATTCCAGAAAACAGCTGTACAGATGGACCTTTTTTGCCACTAGTAACAAAATTGATCCATATCTTGCCTTAAATAGAACAAGCTGAACAAATTTTAGAATAACCGTAAGGAAGTTTAGCCAAACAAATATCAAGTTTTCAAAGTCGGGCTGAAGTTGAAGCAGCTCTATCGAATTTAAAATAAACAAATGCATTAAGAATGATGGAAGACAAATTGCGCATTTGAAAGTTTTTTGAATAAAGGTTGGGCAAATCTAGAACCTTTCCCGGTTTGCCTTTGACCACTTTTCAAAGCTATATAGCCTGGGCCCAGATAGCACAAAATATTACATACATATTTAGGAAATATTTATATGTTTGCTAAATATTTCAGATCAAAAGCAAGTATTTCTTAAATACTATTTTTTAAATATTTGTTTCTGATATTTAATTAGCATGAAACAAATAAGTTATTAATAATTTTCTTATTACATAATACCTTTTGTACCTATATACAGGGTTGCTCATTAGTGCGTCAAAGTGCGATATCTCAGTAAATATGAAGTTTACAAGAAAATTCGTCCAACGAATGTTTTTCACGTTTAAAAGGTCCACATTCTAAAATTACTTTCCAATATACAGGGTGCATCATAAACGTGTGGTAGTTACCAACTCTGGTTTTTTAA